TTTCGTTACTGTGTAAGGGAAACAATAACCGATGTGAGGTCGAAGCGCTGCAAGACGGGACGATTAGTAGGGAAAGAGGTTAACGCGACGACTGAGGCGATGACCCAGAGAGGACTCGCGTTAGGCGCGTGTAGGCTATGCGAAGTTGAGTGAGGAACTCATCTGCCATCGGTGGGCTGACTCGCTTGGGACGACGCATTGGGAGATGGCTAAAAAAAGATGCTTTAACACATCTTTTAAGCATAACCAAACATGCTCTTAGACATTATCCATTAAAAAACTCTCAATAAAAAGAAATTACAATAAAAATAAAAATAAATAAACTATAAAATCTATAGATATATATAAACCTCCAACAAAGAATAAAAAGAGAAACTATAAACTCCAAGATTGTACGGTATGCTTAATTGCACAAAGATAATAAACTGATATTTTTATATATTTTCGTTAAATATGATCAATTTTATTCAGTCGAACATACTAACAGAGAAGGAAATTTACTGCGAAATAATTTCATATTTATGATTCGTGGGCCAGAAAAGGAATCACGTCTCGGGCTAACCCAGCCCAATTACTTTTTTTTTTTTTTTCTTTTTTCTTGTAAATTCTAGGTGGGGTCCCTAACCTTTGCGACAACAGGGTCCCCAATCTTCTAATTGTTGCACCTAGATCCTCAACCTGTAAAAAAGTGCATCGTCATTCCCAACTGATAAATTTTTTCTTTTCTTTTCTTTTCTTTTCTTTTATTAAAGCCATTACATCAACATGCAGTATTCACGTGATGTCTCCCAAATGGGTAAAAATGTCCAAAACTAGTTTTCATTTTTGTAAAAACATCCAATACGCGATTGTTCATAGAACATAACATTATTTTCAAGGCTCAAAAGCCATACGACTCATTAGACAAGAATTGTATTGGACATTTTTAACCTTTCAGGAGATATTACGTGCGTGATGTGCTGATTTAACGGCCAAAATGATGTTTTACAATTAGCGGTAGATGATGCCTATACACTTAAAATTACGATTGGGCATCCATCATCATAGTTGGCAAAGGTTGGGGACCCACATAGAAATTGCCATAATAAAAACAAAGAATCACGTTAAATTATGAATTTAAATAGCTGGATAATAAAGTTATTTAGGACAATAATTATTTCAGATGGACCCCAACTACTGTCTATTATTATATCTTGATAAACGGACAATAATGAAATAAGAGATTTTGTTACGCCTCGCTATTGAAGAAGCCTGCATAATAGTCAATTAGAAACTCAACAAAAGTTCACACTCCATGTCATTAAAAGTAAAGATGATGAAGCGGCGTGCTTCGCCTCAATCGAAACGCCACGTGTATGCAGAAGCTCTATGGCAGAAGCAAGCGCCACCTGCTCCAAAACAATTAGAGAGGGTGTTCTCCACTTTAGTCGAAGCGCTATGTAAGTGGCAGAAGTCCACATTATTGAAGTGGAAGCCTCTTAATGATCCACGAGAAGTGAAAACTAACATTTTACCTCAACCGAGGTGTCATATGGAAGGTAGAAGCCTATATCTATATGACCAAAGTGGAAGTCTCCTAACCATAAAAGGAGCATCTTTTATCTCTAATTCTTCCAAGAGATCTTCGTATAAAAATCTTATACGAATGCACTAAATGCTGCAAGCCTAGGACGTTTGATGTGATGACTAAAGATGGGACGCTGCGACTATTAGGATAAAACCATGTAACTCTTCATCCAACGACCACCACTTCAATTAGACCACTATAAAAGCTCGCAACTCATTCCAATTCAAGGATAATCAAATTTTATACTCTAAGACACTGAAAGATTGCTTTCTCATTTTCTATATTCATATTCCCGGTGTTCCAAAATTTTGTGGCATATGCTTTGAGCTTGTCCCATGCTCATTATATTTACACTCCTCGATTAATTTAACCATTGTAGTGCTCATGACCGTTTTTCCTACCACCAAAGAAAGCCACAGATGATTAATGATTTATCTAAACGCGTAGGAAAAGAGTATATGTGGGTGCAAGTGGGCTCGAGATCTGTTGGCCGCGTTAGAGGTGCATTTTTCGAGATCAACAAATTTTTTATTATTATTTTCATTCAGGGCATGTTTGGCTAAGCTTAAAGAGCTTGCTTATCTGTAAGTTTTAAATAATAACTTTTTCAACAATTAAATGAAAAATAATCTAACTACTTATTTTGACAATAAAAGTAAAAATTATTTCCAAAATAAGTAATTTTTACGTGTATTTAAGCTCAAACAACATGCTCCTCTTTTCGATGCTTTCGCATTATGCCTCGTTTTCATTTTCGCCTTAAAAAATATCATTATGTTTAGATACTAATATTAATTCATACTAAGCGTGGGTTAAATTTTACTTTTTTTTATGTCAATCTAGCCCCTATTTGGTGTCCANTTTAGATACTAATATTAATTCATACTAAGCGTGGGTTAAATTTTACTTTTTTTTATGTCAATCTAGCCCCTATTTGGTGTCCATTCGTTTTTGTTTTGTTTTGTTTTATTTATTTTTTTTAAAGAATTTTTGAATAATGTTTTTGAGAGAATATGTAGTTAAAAAATATAAAAAAAAAAGTTTTGAATTTACGCGTAGAATATTATTCCACCATCCACAAGTAGATTTTTCCTTTTATTTTTGGACTATTAAGTAGGGAGCACTCATGAATTTTTAAGGCAGCCAAGTATTATATAAAGGCAAAATTAGGTCAAGAGAAAGGAGATCATACCCTATACCAAAACAAGAGGCTTCTTTGGGGGGGAAGAAAAAAATAAAATTTATATAAAAGGTGTGAAGGTTTTCAAGATTGAAAAAGTGGTTGTCTTGTGGCAAGATTAATCATTAATTTTTCTTGTGTGTGATGTACTTTCTATCTAATATTTATTTTTCATTGTTGAATATCATTGTTGAATACGTGTAACTAACTTTTTACTAAGGTGAATGATTGAATCTATTTGGAACTCATAATTTCTTTTATCAAGTTATTTCATATCTTTCATCTATTTACTATTGTTTTCGTAACAATTCTCAATGTTTGGATTACTTAGCTACTATTCTAATGTTTCGTGAATAATAACAAATCGAGGGGTGAGCTATTTGTACAGATCATGTAGCAAAAATTGAAAATTAAGTAAAAGGTGGAGATATGCTTTTACTATTGTGATGTCCTTAATTAATTGAATTCCTTCTTGATTTACTTTGCTTAATTAAAGGATAATTCGAATTCACATAGAAATATAGTTAGTTAACTTAATTAAAATTGGTTTGAACTCGAGAAATATAAATTAATTAAATTAGAGGAATTTGACCAAATGCATGTGTTTGATTATTGTTGGAACTTGATGATAGCAATTAAGAGAGATAACTAAAATCAAATTATGAACCCTAGCACTTTTTACACAAAAGCAAAAACTCAGATTGTTAAATTATGGATTTTTTAATTGTTTTCTTAATTAATTTTATTTTCAGTAAAACCTTCCCATCTCTATTTATTTTCTTCAAAAAAAAAGAAAAAAAAAGCTAGACTTAATTAAATTGATAATTAGATAAAATAATCATCAGGGAACGATACCCTACTTATTAATATGTTGCTTGTTTATTGATCTTGTACAGTTACAATTTTTATCAAACAAGTTTTTGAAGCCAAAATTTGAGATCGTACCTGCGTGACAAACAAAAATACTCACCACTATATAATAACGACACGTGAAAAAAATTAATACAATTTAATCATATCTAATACCACGTACCAACATATTATGAAATATGAAACCTCTCCTATTTGGACAAAAAACCTCATTTTTATATTGTCCGGATCGATTTATTAATTTATTTATTATAATGTCGCATAAATTCTACTCACCATAGTTTTTAACTTAAGTGTTAAAAACCAATTTTCCTTGTACATAGGGAACTCAACAACATGAGATTCACATAATACCAAAAAAACTTTGCTTCTTCCTCAAAAAACCTATGGCTTCTACTCCAACACATAGCATTAATGGCCATGCCCAAGTACCCCCATATGAGACAGACACCCCCTATAGTTCGACTCCGCTTTTCCAGCCAATAGTTGCTCGTCGGAATCCTTCCTTTTCTTCATCGCCGTCGCCGCCACAACCACATTTATCATATGATTCATTAGAATTCTTAGGAGTTCCATTTTCTTGGGAAAAACTTCCTGGAATTCCCAAGCAACAAAGTTCAAAGAATGAGGAATCCTCAAGAAATTTCCTCCCACTGCCTCCTTCTGCAAAATCAAATCCCTCCAAGAAACACAATCAAGAAGAGATTTCTTCCAAGAAAATGGATCCCTTTTTTGCTGCATTTTTGAAATGCTCGAAAAATGACGAAGATGGAAACATTTGGAAGGGCTCCAAGATTACAAGAAGTTTAAGTGCTAGATTTGGATTCATAAACGTGTACACTTCTTGCAAAAGAGGTTGTGCAGTTTCAGAATCAGTTGTTTATGTTCCAAGATCAAGCCCACATTATCTTCTTAATCGTCGTTCGAGTTGATTAATTGAGATCACGAGGATCCCAATTTATGGATCTATCTATTCAAGAAGTCAAACTCGATGAATGTAGGTTGAATGGATGGCTACAATTGATGCATTCTTAGATATACTCTTTTGATGGTCATGTGAATCGGAGACCATCTATTTCTCTTTAATTTTTTACTTCTTTAGTCTTCTATTTTAATCTCGAAGGTTCTACGAACTGTAAGGATAAATCAACATCTGATTTAATCCGTGTTCGACTACTACTAGCAGTAAGTATCGAATTTGCTTTGTCTAGTGCATGAAGAACTGCAAAAATTGTCTTATATGTAGACCATATGCAATTGCAATCTACTGCGAAAATTCTATCCTTTCTGGAAAGAATGTGGTGTTTTGTTGAAGTATGACTGTATGAGTAAAAGTTATAACAAACCCATGTGAAAGTATTTAATGGGATACTAATTGATTTGGTTAATCACATATTAAAATTCACTCAATAGATTAAAGATGATCTATTAAAAATCTCGTATTTTATAAGTATTCATGGTAGATGTATTGATAGATACTGATCGTGCATGATAAGCGCACAACGTACTTACATATCATTTGAACGATACAATTTTACATTACTCTGAAAATTATAGTCACTTAATTTCACCTTTACACTACACAAGATTTAAATATACTATGTAGCCTATATAACAAAAATAATGCATATCTTCTTCGATAAGGAAATATATGTTTATTTTACTTTGGTAGGTAAAGGATCCGACATGGTTGTCTCCTGTCATTGACTTCAATGAAGCTTCCGATTTCAATAATCTATTGAACATGCAAAGGACAGTCTAGAAATTATTTGAGCCACTATTGACATGGTTATCGTTGGATTCGACCGTACTATATATTTGTTAAAAGGAAAAAGAAATTATAATATGTTGCCAATTATAATATATTGCATCGTTCATTTTATGCTATTACCACACACTTTCTATGGACCTTCAAAGGAACTTAAGTGAAAAAATTATGGTAGTTAATCGAAAAATTTTCAATTTCGAACTTCCCCTAGTTTGATCTCAGTAGCTGGATACTAGTTTTCTTATTGCATAATATTTTGAGACTTTGCCTCCTCGACTCAATTGGTACATATTACATCTTCTAAGTAACTTAATTTGAATAATACAAGTCATTTTATATGGATGGGTTATCTAACCTATCAAGTAAAAATGGACTTTGTTGGGCCAAGATATGAGAAAGGGAAACTTTGTTAAGTAAGAGATTAATTATGTCACATTTCAAAAACAAGAAAACAAGTTTCAAATTTCAAAAATAAGATTTTTATTAAAAATTATTTATAATTTAATTAATTAAATATTTATTTTAGTAATTAAATATATTTAAGTCACAAATTTATATAATTTGATCACAAATCAAAAAATTTATGTCATAAATTATTTTACAGTCACAGTTCAAAAATTTTATAGGTCAGGGTTTGTTCATCGGTCAAAAATCGAAAAATTTATAAGTCACGATTTATTTATTAGTAACAAATCACAAATATTACAAGTCATAACTTATTATACAATCACAAATTATTAAATTACAGTCATAGATTAACAATTTATTAGGTCATACATTATTTTTCGGTCACAATTTATCTTTTTCATTGATCACATATTATTTATTGATCACAGATTAACCAATTTAATGGTCACAGTCAACCAACTAATTTGTAATCATCTCCAACACTTACAATTCACAATCACAATTTTAAGGTCACGTATCAAATTGTGAGTCACAGTCACAATTTTTAGGTCACATATCCAATTGTGAGTTATAATTGAGAGTCACGGTCACAGCCACCACGGTCGCCGCCACACACCTGTTGACTTCACGTTTTGATTATAACAAACATAATTCTTATATCGCTAACAATTGCATTTGAGTGATTATAGAAATTATGGCAAGCTTGATCAATTGAAGAAGAAAAGTTCACCATCGAAACACTCGGACAGATGAGCAAATGCAAGACAAGATAAAAGCTGAATGTACAAGTCAAATTATTCAAGACTTACACTTCATCAAGTTCGACATTGAAGACATTAGATTTAGACTTTTTGTATTCAAGTGTAAAGGTAAAACACTTTAATAATTGACAATATTGTTTAAAGTTTAAAGTAAATCTTTAAGTGACGTTTGGAATATTTTTACATACAAAATTATTTTTCAAAGATACAAACTTTATTGCATATTTAGAAATGTCAAAAACCTTGAAAATAAGTTTTAAAAATATTCCTAAAAAGGTCATGGTCTTTCCAAACAATCAAAGATAATTTTTTGTGAAAAAATGGTTGTATCGGACGCGTCCGGTATGTTTGGCGGACGTTCGGTAGAGCCGACTTGTCCAACAGTCCAAATAGTAACCGTTCTGATTTCTGACCAAAAAACGACTAGTTGACCATCCAGTAAGTATTGGACGTCCAGTAGGGCAGAAATTTAACAATTGTACTGCTATAAATACCAGATCAGTTTGCATTCAATAGAGAACTTTCAAGAACATTAAAAGTGAGATCTTCTTGAGCTTGAATATTTGTTACTTGTCTCTATCAATTCATTCATACTTTAAAAACATTTGATTGATTCAACCTTTGAAAATTATTTTCTCAAAGTTTTTCATATCTAACACTTAAGCTTCATTCATTGCCATCCATTAAAGTGTTAGCCTATTTTTCTCTCATTATACTCAACTTTGATATATTATTTATTGAGAGAAA